TACAACATTTTCAAACAAGCAGCCTATCGGCTGAGATAGCTCCGCTGTTAGCAATGCACATTTCAATTAAAGAACAGAAGATATCATTAGAAAATGAACGATATGTATAGTATCAAGCAATGGGACTTGCTGTTTTCAACAAGAATTCAAAAATATTTTAAACAAACAAGATGGCCGCCAGTCGACCATATTTGATCAATTTGCTAATTGAATTGACATGTACATGTATCCATTTATGACATGCTAAATATCAATGAAAATGATACATGGTGACAGAGATATAGTAATATGGCCAAAAATAAAAACAGCTGTTATTCGGCCATCTTTGATCTGCTTATGAAACATTGTATGATGTATGTGCCAAATACGAATGAAAATGTTACATAAATCTTGCAAATATAGTAGTAAGGCCAAAAAGTCAGATGGCTATCAATCCGCCATCCTTGATCCGATTTTGAAACAAACTGTCATGGACATGTATCCTAACATGTATAATCTATGTACCAAATATGAATGAAAACTGACAAAGCATGTCCAAAATACAACATTTTCAAACAAGCAGCCTATCGGCTGAGATAGCTCCGCTGTTAGCAATGCACATTTCAATTAAAGAACAGAAGATATCATTAGAAAATGAACAATATGTATAGTATCAAGCAATGGGACTTGCTGTTTTCAACAAGAATTCAAAAATATCACTTTTTACCAAAAATTACAAAAATATTCATCAAAATTAGAGAATTAAAGATATCATTACAAAATGAACAAATCTGAGAGAGGTCCACATGTAGTACCTATATATGTAATATCAAAGCAATTGGACTTGCGGTTTTTAACAAGAAGTCGAAAATATCACTTTTTACCAAAAATGACAAAAATATTCACCAAAATTAGAGAATTGAAGATATCAACATGAAATGAACAAACCTAAGAGAGGTCTACCCAAGGTACATATACACCAAGTATCAAAGCATTCAGGCTTGTAGTTTTCAAGAAGAAGTCGAAAAAGTAAAACATTGACACGGACGACGACGGACAATCACTCATATGATAAGCTCCGCTCGACAAAGTCGACAGCGGAGCTAAAAAACAAGATGGCTGCCAGTCGGCCATTTTGAATCGAATCGCTAAACCACTGCATGTGCATATGTCCCACATAAAATACTAGGCACATGCAAAGAATGAACGAAATCGATCGGACGGATTCTGAAATATGACTCCAGACGAACAGATGGACGCACGGAGACCGAATTATAAGTCCCCGTTTTCAGACTTCGTCCGAACGGGGATAAATAAAGTTGCCTTAGACTGAGTTTCAAACCCATTTTTTCACTTTAGACAAATATTTTATGCTTAGAAACATAAAAATTAACAAGTCATTGTCAATGACACGTCCCCGTTCCGTTCATCTTTGAGTGACATATACATTCAAAGCAGATCATGACCGAAATGCACCTGCATATGTACAACACATTGTACTAAATCTGAACAAAATCCATCCATCCATGCATGACTGAGATCTGGTTCCGGAATTGTGAAAATACGTGATTTTAATGCATTTTCGGTCTTAAAATGGCCATCATTCGGCTATTGTTAAGCGG